CGAATTACTTTATAGAAATTCATAGCTGATATAACAAAGATATTCAGTTACTGGCAAGACGCTTCGCCATTGCATGAGCCGGCACCAGTGTCTTCCTGACCTCATGCTTACCTTTTGAACGCGGAGTCTACGAGTAGAAGGCAGCCCAATAGAATCAAGGTAGAAAAAGGCTTTGCGGTGCCGGATAACGAAAAAGAAAAACATAAAAAACCGTATGCGTCCCGATATATACCCCGGTCCCTTCCTTGCTCGTTGATGCCCGCAAGGGTGCGAATCTCATCGGCGCTGCCCTCTTCAACGCTAACGGCGCAGCCTCCTCTACACGGTAAGAGACCTGCAGCGAGTGATTAACCAATCGGTGGGCGCAGCGCGCCGTTAAGATTCAGCTACATCCGCCGGGGAGGGGGAGGGTCGGTGGCGCGGCAAAATGCGTGCTCGGTCGCCCCATTAGGAGTCGCTTGTTTTTTTAATTAGGTATACTTCTCTTTCGTTGTCTTCGCATCTCGTCGTAGGATCTCCCTGTAAGCAACCGATCCTCAAAGGGACATAGCTTAATTACTCATTTTTAGTGCTTAAGTTGGATTCAGTAAGGCTTCCTAGGTACAATTATTATGGATCGCAAATTGTTACGCCCCGGAACAAATCTCGAAGGCTCAACGCTTCCAACTAATTGTTTGACTTTTTGGAGCTGGAGAGGCAGAGCTCTGCTACCGCCTGACTCTGGAAATGGAACCACAAAGTGCAATTACCTCAACAGGTCTCCATCCATTCAGAGTTTACTGAATTGCGCTACGGTTCTACTGAAGAATAAAACCTGGACGAACGTATATGTACTACTCGCGCTATTTGATGTTCAAACGTATCATCAGATTGCAGAGCATTCTTGGAAGCTGGTCGCATGGGTCATACCGAAAAGATTCGTCTTTGCTCTTATTTGTGCCATCTTAACCTTTAGTTGGTAGAGTTCTACAGAAGTTTTGCGTTAAAGGCAAAAGTCGGGCTCAATAAGGGGGTATTATGGCGATTGAAACTGAGTATAGAGATGCGAAGTGGAACGACAGTGGAGAAAAAACTGAGAAAAACCGTCGACAAGGCCGTTAACAAAACCCTCTTTCCCACTAGCAGTGAAGGAGGCTGGCTTGGGAAAGAGGCACGTACAAACAAGTTTTCTGGAAGATGTCAGTCGTTCTATCGGTTGATGCGCGTAACCAAGTTACAGGATGACCGAAAGGGTTGGTTTAGTCAACTAATCCCGACCTTTGCCTTTAACGATTTTTCGCCATTTCTCTGCATCGCTTAGCACTTTTACATTGCTTGTGGTCTTACCTCTTCTTTATGCGCATACGGTAAAGCGTCTCCGTAAAACGCCTTATAATAGATGGTAGGCGGCTCATTTTCTCTCCGAATTGGTTCAAACGTGACATTCAACGTCAAGCTATAGTCTTTGTCGCCCGGAGCGATGTACTTCTTTGAAATCTGAAAGTATTCATTCAGAGATCAACATGAAGTGGTTCTGTTCAAATTCAGTCCTTCGCCACTTGAGCACTAAAGATCCATTTAAGATCAAAACGACGTCACCATTATCCCGAAAATAGAAAAAATAGAAATAGGAGGAAAGCGACAGAGCGACCAGAGGCATCCGCCAAAACGCTTCGAATAAAGCCCCTCCCCAGCTGATTCTAGTAGCTGCATTTCTGCATTCACAGGTGGTACACTGTTGGCATGGAGCCATGAGGTGCCATACATGCAGATCACATGAAGCGCACTCAAGCAAGATTCGACCTCGGATTAACCCGGTCGACCTAATTTGTTCCGTGTGAGAAAGTTTCTTCTAGCTATTGTTATTACATGTGAGCATCAGTAGGTATACATAGTATGGCGAAATTGGAAAAGCTATCAGACTCACAAACAAAAGAAAAACCAGTAAGCTTTTTATGCCCACCTTCTTAGTTTTTAAGCTTATGTCGAAACAATTCGAAATTTCATAGTTATGCCGAAAAAGTTTATAATCTTGCATAACATTATAACCCATAATTTTGATTTAGGAATGGATCTACTTCAAGTATTTTAAGAAAAAGTCACACTTACTTGGCCGGTTGCGGGGGTCAGCGCCCATTCATTGTTGCACTTGTACACAAATACTTGTAATACTAACAGCAACACACAATGAAATGGCAGGTTTAGCTCATAATTAGGAAGGGGAAGGTTGACTGAAGCAACCTCTAGCAGGATTAGAAAAACCATGCTGTTTCAGCGGCAATGCAAGCGTTTGAATTTGGTGGTGGCAATTGCCACCGCCAGGGCCGAAAGGGTTAAAAAGCATCTATACAGCAGCCAGACGCTCTGACTTCCTCGTGCAAATGCTTTATCCAACGTGGTTCGGTCGTGGAATGAGCTCTCGTAGTAATTAGTACAACTACAAAGATCAAACGCAGTTTATTTTGAACGTTTTTCCGACTTGTCTTGCCTTTTGACAACGCCTCCTTGTGCATGTTTACTATAATATCACTATCAGACGGCAATAACCACGCCACTTTGAAAGTTGAACGGCACGTGAAGTTGTATGGAAACTTGTACTTGTAATCGATATCATTTATTTGACCACAAACAGGAGCTGGGAAGATGTCAACTCTGACGCACGGATTTCCCTCGACCGTGTCGCAGTCTGAAAATAAGATTGCGTACTTTAGAACACATTCTGAGGTTCATCACAATTCGGGAGACAAGTGGTTGATATTAGTTAGCATAAGAATGAGGTTTAGGGTCATAATTGAAGGAGCAAAAACTAAAACCAAAAAACTCTGCAAAAATTTCGCGCAGAACGCTACTCTTATGGTTTCTGAGGTCATTTGTTCCGGATTCTTTTGGGAGCAAGAGCACAGGGGTGAGGGCTGCAAATTTCGCACGACGTGTTGTGAAATGCTCCTCAGAACTGGTGGAAGTAGGGGAGACGTCCTGTTGACTTTGATTACACATACATTGCATCACCTGGATTCACCACTTCGAGGAACTCAGGGATTAACGTACGGGTACACTCTTGTAAGCCAGTGGAGGGTGGGTAGCCTGCAATAGCCCCAGACCCGGCTTATGTAGTGTTCAAGCTAGGTTTGCATTTTCACGTATATTTTGGATGAAGATTTCTTGCTTGATGTAGCCGTGGTAATGGGTACCAGAAATTACTTTAGTAGCGCCGTGAGCACGAGGTTCTAGTTTCATTTTCTGGCTTTCGCGCTCATCTCAGACCAGACCTCTTCTCTTCTTCCTAACCTCGAAAAGCTCGTGTGTAATAAATTACAAAAATCAGGATCTTCACGAGATGATGTTGGTTAATCCTGTCGAAAACACACTTCCTTCAAACACGATCCTATGCGAAGCAGTCAAAAATTTCCAGAAACTCAAATAACTCTCTAAAATTGGTTAATCCGTCGTGAATGTCCGGTTCTGTTCGTTGCTTCCTTCCTGGTGCGCGTAGTGAAAGGCCCTAGTTTGACAAGTTTGAGTACGCACAGATGCTAGTTGCATGTTTGGTTTGCGCTAGGTGCCCTCAGTTTTCACATTTCAAAACTGGTAACTCCGTTCAAAAATAACTTGTTGCAAATTTCTCCCGTTCAAAAGCGACTTCTTGCAAATTTCGGTCGCCGAAGAAACTACGAGATTAGAATTTACAAAAAATTTCTAATTCCGAAAAAAAACCACTATTGAAGGCTAATGCCCTTGTACATTTTTCAGTGAGTTTATTTTGAATAGCCTTGGTGTTGCAAGTAATTGATACAACCGCTCTCAGAACCAACAGTTACCTTAGAACATCATTTTGCTTCGTGCGTACGAACGAAGAAGCGGCTTCTGCTCTGCGAACTGCTAAGCCTTTGTGACTTTCGATGTCTATCGCAGTTCGCTGCACTTACTACCCCACTCCTTTCCGTTGACTGAACCATCCTTTTCCGGGTGCGTGACTATTCAATCGTGGCAGTAAGTAGGTCGCCGCGCCGGCCGCCGCAGCCAGCAATATCGCGGCGAATTTGCAAAGAACTCAGCATCCAAACATTGGGAGAATGTAAGATTAGATGAAGTTTTCAGTTATGAAACATGGAATAATCACCTTAAGCCCTGAAATGCAGTTTCTTTGTCCCTTGCCATTATTACAAAATTATCCTATCATGCTTATGTTAACGCCTTCCTCACCATCCCTCTAAATCTGGAACCGGCGAAATTCTTACTGAAATTCACTCTCTGATAGAAATTCAGGAAACTGATTAATAAAGAAGTCAAATTAAATTCAAAAGGACAACCTTTACACGGTACAGTTTGTACTGCGAGGCTTAAATCACTGCAGGGATCTTACAGTGACGCTTGCTGGCTTACTGATGTCCAGCACTCTGGTGTTATCAGTCACCTAGCCAACTTATGGAGCATGGATGGATAAGAAAAGGTCCACACAGAAATCGCCGCAGCAACTGCCGCACGCGACGATTCTCGCCGCGTGAGCGGCGTGACCTCATTAGCGACGATTGAATTGACCGTCTTCCCTCTGTTCCCATCGAAATCGCACAAGGTACGGTGAGGCTACTTTCATAGTTTGCGCCATCGTGGAAATGCCGGCGCGACGGCGCAGACTGTTAAAGCAGCCTCATCCCTGATTAAGTTGCGCGTGGTAAAAGGCGCTCACTTGTTCTCTCGCGCCCCTCTCTGAATTTGTCCAAAAAAAAAATTAAAATGGGTGATACGTACTGATGGTCAGCGTCTGTAGGTCGGGTGAGGCGGTGTGCGAATCTCCGTCTCTGTGGCACATTTTCTACTCGAGATGCTCTGCGCATAGTAGACAAATCGACATTTCCGATACATCATGTCCGAACCCACACGACCCACCAGCGTATTCGGGAGCGATCCCTTTATCTGAAACATTCTTTGACTAGGCTCATTAATGATCACCAGTCAATTGTACCAATCCCTCAAAACCTACGAATTCTGGAAGTGGCACTCCTTGAAGTGAGGTCTGGCTCAGCGCATGTGATCAAATGAAACATTGGCATTACATCAAGATCTTGCGTTCCCAGTGGCCATGCTGAAGTAGAAGGTGGACATATAAGCGTAGAACTAATTTGAAAAAAAAAAAACAGGGATCGACGCACCTCCTGGCTCATATTTGAACGTAATTTCGACAGTACCATTCGCCGAATAGAAATCGCTTTTGAGAGGCGTGTTCTGGAACATTTGACCTTATATTAGAGTGGCACAAGAGCCGCGTGTTGAGGCTCGAAGAATGTGAATGGTGTCAACCCCAGTTCTTTCCCGGGCAAAGGCACGGAGAAAATTTCTGCACGGCTTTCCATCATGCGTGCTAGCACCTTGCACACACTATGCCATGTCAAAATATGTTTGAAAAGGCTGTTTTCAGATATTCCCCTGTAATTGAAAATTCCCCTTGCTATGTGGGCCCACGCAAAAAAAGAGTAAAAAACCGGGATGCGATCGCTCAGATAGTCCACAGATGTCATGGAAGGGAGCTCATGTGGGTTTGAAAAAACTACAGGCAAACTTTTAATAAATTTTTGCCTAATTTCTCTGATTTTTAATATAAGGGCAAAACTTCATTCGGCATATATCGGGCCTATATCCCGCAATTGAGGAGGACGCAGTTGCCGAACTGCCAAGGACTCGATGTGACTGCGTGATAAAATTCTGCCAGTCTACGAGTGGCTTCCTTTTTTAATGAGCTCCTTTAATTCTGTGTCATTTGTTTCCACCAGATTCGCTTTTGACTAATTTAGCCTTTATAGAGCAGAATATGTGCAGTGACAAGTGGCGCTATATGAGCATCATCCAAACTACGGGCCGCCCATTCACGCTTCAGTTAATAACTTTATAATAACATTGAACTGTCTAGCCTTTGGCCCGCTCCAACGTTTTCCCTTCTCCCCACCCCCATACCCTCCCAACTGGAACTCCGAAATGCGCCAAGCTGGATGAGATAATGTAACAAATAAAAAACAACAACTGCAGCGCTGCCCTCTCTCATTGTTAGATCACTTCCCCCCACTGTTCTTAAGTATACAGCTTACGTCCTCTTTTCCAGAAATATCACTAGTTGAGAATCACTGCCGTGTCTGACGTTAGTTTAGCTCAACTGATACCTTTCAGTTCTTCGAACGCTCTTTCTTGAATAACTTTCAGTGTTTTGAGTGTAAAACGATAAGTTACTAAATGGTTCTGGATAGTCCATCTAGGATCCAACGCGCTGACCGTGTTTGGTATACCGGATCCCGCAACCACCCCCCCCCCCCCCGTCACTTCCTAAATCGCATGGTAGGTCGAGTTATCGAGCCATTCATCTTAATTCTCAGCATTGAAAACGATCAATGACAAAAAAATTAAGCGGACACAAATTTGAAAAGTACCAGTGAGTGTAAGAATAATGAAAAGTAGCTGTTTGACTGACCAGATGCACCATTCGTAATAGTTGCAGTTTTGCGCGGACCCGTGGTTGCGGAGAGTCTACATTGTAGGGTGAGGATAAGGGACCGGCACCATCAGATGAAACCGCCGAGACCCTAAAATATCTTTAGACTCACTGATTCGTAACCTTATATTTTGACTGCTCTTCTTCAGTGAACACTGAACACAGCACAGGGTGTCCCAAAAGTATAGGTTCACCCCAACTGTCATAGATATCTCTGGAACAAATAGATGATTCCTTTCTCAAATTTTACCAGCAACACCTGATAGGAACCTCTTTTGATATAATGTGAGTAAACTTGAATAGAAAAAAGCAGATTTTTGATTTTTTTTGAAAATAAAAAAGCATGGTGTCGCAAAAGTATAGGTTCGCATTGGAATTTAGGGACGGTA